GCAGAACGATTCTCGAACGACCGATTCGCGTTTGATCGATCGCCCGACCAGTCCCGACGGTCGTAAGCGTGCACAACGATCTCAGTCTCTCTCTCTCTCTCTCTCTCCCTTCCTCGCTCCCGCCTTCCCTCTTTCTCGTTCTTCCTATTCTCCTTTCTGCGCTCAAACGCGGTTCTCCGGTACACACTCATCTGGAGCACATCACTCGAGATGCGCTCAGTCTTTACTATCTGCTCGCAACAAATCACCAATGCATCGGACAAAAGAAATATAAGTATTGTATCTGCTTCCGCAATAGGCTTTCGATTGTATCATTTTCGTACTTTGATCGGCTCTAAGAGATCTCTTCGGTTCTGATAATCGCACAAAAGATATATTTTTGTGTATGGAAAATGATTCGAATAAAATTACATTTTTTGTAAGCGGTAGAAGCTAGAGTATAATGAAATACTTGTCGAGAAACGAAAGGATATTGAAAATTAATTATTGAATCAGTAATTATTTAAAAAATTATATCGAGATAGAAGGGAATAAAAATCATTGAAAAAGAATCCTGTAAAATATGAACATATTTCACGGAAATAAAATTCGCCTCTAGCCTCTGCTAATGAAACGAAAATGGAAAATAATAAAAAGTGAATCGTATTAACCGTTATTAATGATGAGCGTGAATACATATTCTAAATTGCAATACAGCGAGCGCTAATCACCGCAGCGGGTCATAGTTCGAACGTTAGCGAGGATGTTTCCGCGTGATGAAGCGCCTTCGTCGGAAATCAAGGCGTTCCCGCGAAAGAATTCCGCCGCGGAGCGCCGACAATGTCTAATCAGGCGATTGTACAGCGGGAATACCGTTCCCATGGAATGTTAATGCGATCTTCATCGGCGCTTCTTTAGCGAGTACAAGGTCTTACTTCATGCGAGACAACCGGAGCACCACAATGTCCGCGCGCTGGTCTTCGCGATCACACGCGCGCATTGTTGCGCAATATAACGTAATGCCGCGCCGGGTTCTCTTGATTATCCGCGAGCAGCGGTACAGGCGAACAATTGCAGCCGCGCCGCGCGCGGAGGATGCGGCAGCGGAGATTTATCTACATTTAATGAAACAGCCAACTTCCTTCCCGCGATTTCTTCCGCGTTGGATGTCGAAGGCGCGCGAGGGTCACCATCCTGCGCTCTCTTCCTTACCGTTCCGACTTTTCCCGAACGACAGAGTATATATTTATGTAATTTCCTAAGTGTTTCTGCCGCTACACGGCGTTGACCTCCCAGGTTAGACGGGTTATAGCGAGGGAGATTATGCGAACCCTAAGGATGCGCCTCCACTCGCGCAATGATCTCTGAATCCGTGCATTATCTCGCCGTGCATTATCTCGCGGATAAATGTTTCATTGTTGTTCCCCTTTGCCGTGCGGCGGGACCGCGCGCACGTTTCTGCCGATCGCCTCAACCCGATAGCGCGCTCGATTTATACGATTCCAGTCGATATCGCTGTGAGCTCTCGCGCCGAATTATTCCGCGGTGTTTATGAATACGGATGCTCGCGATTAAACAACCTCCCTCCCCCCTTCCTCCTCCTCACTCTCTCTCTCTCTCTCTCGCTCTCCTGCGGAACGAGCGCGTGTATCAAATAATTATTATTCCCCTATTCAATTAGCAATGCCAATTAATATTAACGTCGCGCACAATTCATAATAAATCGTACCGAAATAAATTAACGCTAATTATTTGACCGAATTCCGCGTGGCGTACGCTGCCTGATCATGCTTCCCGCGCATTGAATCGGATTAAAGGACGTAACCGCAATTAAATATATGTTTATGATCTAACTTTACCGCGAGAATCGGAACGTTAAACGGAGAGGCCGTTCGCTTTGTCGCTATTTTTCGCATCGCATTATTTCTCCGGAGATCAAGCGGATTATGTTTTGCCACCCGGAAATGCCGAAGGCGCGCTTGTTGAAGAAATTTGCTTTGGCAGTTGGGTCGTTCATGCATATATTCACGCCAGCGCTCTCTTTTCCACGGTTTCCTCAAATATCGAGGATCTCGAAACGCATAGTTATACCACTTTTGATACGGTTCCGCCTGGCGGAGGACCTTTCGACCCTGTCTCGGGTCGACACCGAGGCACAGCTCTGGGGGTCGTTGCGAGAGAACAGCTGGCAGAGACCTTTCGCTTTGGAGGCTTTCAAGGTGTGCACATTCACCCGGCACGCTCGCCTCACGGACGCGAACCTTGACGCGTCGGCGTGATACCGCATAAATGCAACGCCACTCTCTATCGAAATCGGAAGACGCGCTGACCCGTTGTCTTCCGCATGCTTGATCAATGAAAAAGTGTCTAATGTCCTGACATTCGATAAAATCAATCTATCAAATTTTATTACAAGACAAAATTGACGGAGGAGTTTTAATAAGGAGCGAGGAAAGTACCGCAAAACGTATGTAATGCGCAATGTTATGTAATACGAATCGAACAGCATGGCACGAGCGGTGCGGTGAATTCGATAGGCGTGCTTCAACTTAACTCAGAGAAAAAAAAAAGAAAAGTCGATTTTTCCGCACACATGAGCTATTGCATCGAGCACGTGTCCCATTCAAAATGCCTGGCGCATTCAAAGAGTGCTTTAAAGCGAGCAAAAATCAGGCGCTCGCCGCGACGTGTGGTAAAAGTCGCGTTTCAAAGGTGAATGTAATTACAGATCAAGAGCGCCGTATAATTGATAGATGGGCTGCGCGGATTAGCATATAAATCAACATATAGTGAATCGTAGAAAGCCTCCAGACCGATAATCATTACTTCTGCGGGAAAAATCGCTAAGTGTCTAACGGTCGATCGCGGCACAAGAAATCATTCTTGTCTAGACGCTTACTTGTACCGGCGATAACGATCGAAGAAAGAGAATTGGCAATAACGATGAGCGTATAAAAACGCCTCTTCACAGACTAGAAAGACGTTGGGCGAGTGAGAACGCGGCATTGGAAAATATATATACGTTGATACGCCCAACTTATGTATCAAAGGGAATGCAAAACTGCGCGCGCGCACGCGCACTTCGTGCGGGGAAAGCAAAATTCGCGAATTTCGGCGTACGAATAAATCTGATTACCAGAAGAGCGTAACACCGCGTAATTGGTACGCATGAATACGAAACGCCCCCCTTCCATCCGTCGCGCCATCATTGTTGCGGCGGGACGCCGCTTTTTCACGCGATTTTCACATGCATAATTTGTACGAGCGAGCGCGAAATAGTTGATATAACATCGCCACGATCGGAACAGTTCGCCGTGGCGGCGCACGTGAAAGAGAGCAATTAAAATGCAATATTATTGTGTGCCGTAAAGTAACTCGATGCTCGCGTCACTCTGTACCTCTATTTTCCTTCCCAGCGAGCTTCTCATCCGTTCGGCTCCGCTCGCGTTCGTTCGTTGTAGAAGTAATGAAAGTGCATCGGTCATTACGCTCCGGATACCACCAACGTTTAAACGCGTACGAACCGCGCGATCAGGGAGTTCCACGCGGAACTACATTATTTATAAGCGCGCGCAATAAGGACACCGCGATACGCGTTATTGCATCTGGTTACGCGCCGTTACACAGTACGATAAATAAGATCGGCGCGACGAGGCGAGCAATCTGCAACAAGGACGCGTTTGTTAATGCGGAATTAAACGTCACCCACACTCGACAATAAAACGATGTGTGCGGCGCGCGTATATCGTCTGGTTCGTTAGCTACTAAAGTCGCATATATCGTATTCTTCTGTCAACCACTTCGATCGTTACACGATGAAGATGGTCCATAAATTTTGAAATATGATCGAGAGGCGTGATCGAAATTAATCACTGTTATTACATTGTAGGATATTGCAACGCGGTCGATAATAAACGTTTAATGTGATATTGATAAAGAAATTATCCGCATTAATGATGCAGTTGTTTCGTATTCATTATTCGCGCGTCCTGAATGCATTCGACGATAAAAATTCAAATTCTTCGACAATAAAATTTTCATCTGCCGTTACGCTACATATCAGCGTCGGTGGTATGGCGCAATATTATATCACACTGTGTATTTATCAGAATTAAACGCAATGACACGAGCGTCATTATTTCTCTTGCGATCAAAATGTTTTATTACATTTTATTACGCTTTATACACGCGCGTAGATTAATAATGCCGAAAAGTTGCTGTTTATCCAGCATTATTACTACGTGTTTATCGCACAACAGTGCGACAAATATGTAATAATAATGTGCAGATAAAAGCTAAATAAAATAAATTACTGCAGTATATTTTTAATATAAACGTTTTTTATTGAATCTAGATAATTTTTTGTTTCAGTATTTATTAACATATCAATTATTCAAATAAAAGTATTTTAAAAGATAATTGCTTTTCACAAAATTTAATTAATTTTTTATTTTCTTGCAATCCGCTTCCGCTAATTTATTCCTAAAGAAAATATTACATGGAATATATTTCTATACTCTTTTAATAATAATTTCTCATATCGTTGCTCGCAATGTAATAAAATTCAAAATGATCCAAGTACCGTTATCCCGCTTATATGATGAGAAAATTCTTTCTCAAAGACATTTTCTGTGCAACACGCAGAGTTAAACAGAGCAGTTTTACTAGATTGACTCGTTCTAAATCCTCTCGCGTACTCTTCGTCGTTTCCTTTCGCGCGAGACATCCAGACATACGGTTCATGTCTGAGAAAGTATAGGAGAGCGTAGTGTAACGTCCTCTAGCTGGTCCAAGAATCCAATAACTGGAAAACGCATTGGAGCGTACGGAGACTACTCGAGCCGGCGTTCCCTCTGCGTACCGATTCGCGACGACGAATATTACGACGAGCGGATTCGTCCTTTTACTTCACCGGCATCGCATCCGCGACGGAGCGGATAGAAAAGCAGGTCGGTGGAAAACGAGCAATCGGACGGTTCTTATGCTACCTACGTACGAGAGAAACACATGTTGATACTCACCGGCACAGGAAGTCTCGCTCGCCGAGGCACAGCTCGAGGCAGTGCTGCCTCGAGGAGGCGGTCATGGTCCTGCGTGCGTGACCCTGAAGGCGGTGTCCCTGCACTCTGTCGATGCACCAAGCGCGTTCGCAGGGCTTCACCGCCAGGCAGCTCTTCTGGGCGTAGATCGTGAACACGGGGAACTGAGATTGCGACAGCGCGCCTGAAACAGAAAGAAAACGATTCCAAATTAATTACAGCGTCGAATGTTGCGTCCTAGAAAAATCTCCCGGAGATATCTCAAATTATCGTTTCGTCAATGTTTTATTCGTTACAGTGTAATTAACTGTCGTGAACTATCGCGACATTTGCCTGGCGCGATATGTTTTAATTTGGAAATCGCGTACGATTAAAAAAAATTTTTATAATCGAGCTTTATATTGGTCAATAGCAAAGTGGCGTACACTGTTACGTCACTCACATGCGATGCGTGTGATTTCGGTATTCTATAGACGTTGTCGGGTGGGACCACAATTTTGATAGATCAGCGCGTTTATCATTCGCCGCCGCGAATACCATGTTCTTCGTCGGTTATTGGCCCGCGTCGCGATAAGCGACGAAGTAGGCACTCCGCCCACGTCTCGTCATACGTCATCCGCTCTTTGCTAAATCGTAATTAATCTCCGCTATGTGACGGGAGCTTCGATCGTGACTCGTGGAAAACTTGCTCAAAGCTGGATGTGAGGAAGAAAAGGAAGAGAGAGAGAGAGAGAGAGAGAGAGAGAGAGAGAGA